GTGATGCTAACGCTTGATGTTTTGATAATGTGAACAAAACTGTGTGCTGCCCATAGTATCATTTGCATAGGCATTTGAGGAGCATTAAAAACGCACTGGCTTTGAAATCCAGTGTGAACTTGGCCTTAAAGTGGTAGTAAACTGCAACTTGAAAAAAATATTAAAAACTTCCCTACAAGATAATGTCATAATGTGCTAGTATGCATCACATACTAGCTCATTTTGAAGGACTTACCGTAAAACGAAACCCTCCAGCGGTGCACTGTCACAGCTGCAGAGGCTTCCATCTTCACCCAGTCTTCCTTCGGGGTTCGCGAGCTGTCTGACTGGCCGAGGCACAATGACGTCACTCCCGCGCGCATGTGCGCGGGAGTCTCGGACCACAGCACAGTGCTCTGAAGGAAAGGCACGGGTATGCCATTCCATCAGAGTGCATGCGTCGCCTGTCAAACAGAGCGAATATCTCCTAAACTGTGCACATTTAGAAGATATTCATTTTACCTACAGGTTAGCTTTATTATAAGCATACCTGTAGGTAAAAGATACAAAAGTGGGTTTACTTCCACTTTAAATTATAATAATGACTGACATTGATTACATTCAGTTTTGAGAAGTTTATAAAATTGTTTCAGCATTATTTCGATCAATTATAAATAAAAAAAAAGGGGGGGGGGGGGGGGGCATAATGTTGGCTGCTGGCTTCTGATTGACATTTGTGTTTGAAAGAGATTGGATAAACACAGCCGAATTTACCATTGGTGATGTATTGCATGGTGGTTTATGCTATCTCAGTAGTTTAACAATCAAACTAAATGGTCAATCAAATAACAATTCCATGTACATTTGGCCTGCAGCAGACAAAATATACAGACTCAAAACCTAATTTCCTGAGATTGTCCCTGGCCCAGTACTCTGCCCTTGGAAGAACATTACATCAAGGCGTGCCTTAGGGACAGCGATAACATTTAGTCAAGTATAGAAATAAATGACAGCAGGGTGTGGCCAAAGGAAGATTATTTCTACATTTGTAAGAATATTAATATGTTAATTACAATATTCTAGAAGCCTTGATATTGATAAGTCAACTGTGACATTATGCATCATACTGACAAGAAAGTGTTGGAGAATGACTAATGTATATGAAACATCCATGCATACTGTAATAGTGGGGCTATGTAGGAAACAACTATTACAGCATGAAAAGATCTCCATCATTGGCATATATTCAAAATGGAGAAAAGAAAATGTGAACTCTGCAGTCCATCAGTCTGAATAAAAGAATTCTTTTCATCTATGCACCACTTACTTTACTGAACTAGTCACTTTGACTGAAACTATATTATAATATGTATACTATATTGGTATACAGAGAACATATTGGTGGGATTTTACTGATCAATTCTATTTACATTTCTATTTTAGTTTTACACAATTAGGGACTAACCTATGGTAAAATGTTTCATTGCTTATTTAAAGTGGAATTTAAGGCTAGAACTAACTAAGCTTAAAACTGCTCCCACCCCATTCTGACATCTCTATTAACTACCCTATACAAGGAAGATGCATATTCTTACCTATCCTCAAGGTGCTCGGGTCCAGTCATATGATCTTCCCAGCAATTGGCTTCTGGGGAGGGGAGAGAGCGCCAACAAGGGATGGAATGCCTGTGTGGTGAATTCACCCATAGGCTTCTTTTACTCCATCTGTTGTAAGCTGTCACTCCACTCCCCTGAAGCTGGTTGCTGAGAGTCAATCATGTGACCGGACCAGAGCGCCCTGAGAATAGGTAAATATAAGCATCTTCCTTCTACAGGGTAGTTAATATAGGCCTTAGAAGGGTAGTGGGAGTTGTTTTAAGCTTAGATATTTCTATCCTTGAATTCCACTTTAAATTCTTTATTTTACTGATAAAATTTGTACATCTAGCATGAAGGTGATTTGGTTTGGGATGGATACTCCGACTATGCCATTTTGTAGGCAGGGCCTAATAGGCCTGTGCACTAGGGCTAACTTTGCCAGAGGCATGCTCATCAATGCCTAGGACTAGGTGGGAACTGCTGTCATGTGCACGGTCTAACATTACGGCCTTAGAGATGAGCATACACAGCATGTAGAATGAAGCTGAGTTTCTAGTACAGTGCTGTCCCATAGCTCTACATACAGTGACTATTATGTGTTATTTTTGGTGTGACAGGCAGAGCCGCACCACTTCCACTAGCCAGTGTACCTTTGTTACCTCGCTTCCCGTAACAGAATGGGATCCTGCCAGACACATAGTGCATATCACATGCGTGTCCTGTGTTAATTCTGCCTGTACCATACAGTTAGGCTGAGGACATCCGTAATGCTGGTCTGTTCCCGGGTGCTATGGGAGATGGACTGCTGGTGAGGGAACCCAAATAGTGACTCCCTCTCTACCAGAGGACACTACACCTCACCTAGGTACCACACCTCAACTGGTTGCCTAGTGTCTTAGATATTACTGAGTTACTGATGGCAACAACCTTGTTCTTCTTTAGCATACACTTGACACTAGATTCTTTATACATCTCTAGTACTATTAAAGGCCCAGGTTCTTTAATACGCTGTCTGGAGTTTGCATGTTCTCCCTGTGCCTGCGTGGGTTTCCTCCAGGTACTCTGGTTTCCTCCCAAACTCCAAAGACATGTTGGTAGTTTAATTAGATCCTGTCTAAATTGGCCATAGTATGGATATGTATGAATGTGAGCTAGAGACCTTTGGTTGTACACTCCTTGAGGGTTAGGGACTGATGTGAATGTACAATATATACAGTTAGGTCCATATATATTTGGACACAGGTGCAATTTTAGATTTTTTCAGATATTGACCAAAACATATTCAAGCTATAGTTATACTATTTAATTACTGATCACCTATAGCAAACATGATTTAAGTGAAAATGGTCCATTTCTCCTAACCCTGACTGACTAATGATTGTCCCAGACCCTTCAGCAGAGAGAGTCCATTACTGGTGGCAAAGTCCAGAGGAGGTGGTATGTTCCATGGCTGGTGGCATCTTGGGATACTCTGAAGCAAGGATCTTCAGGAGCAGATCAGGAGCAGTACACACAGGACGGCGGGTATCCAGAACAGCAGAAACCCCAGGCCCAGGGCTAGAGCTCTCTGTGTAGTCACTGGAGATTACATTCTGTGGCTTGTCTGTGACTTCTTCAGCAGCTCCTGTGCGCAAAGCCCTTCCCCCTTTTATTTACAGCATGGGGAAAAGAGGCAAAGCCCACACATTGCAGGAACTACATTAACCCTTCCCTAACCTGGACCAGTCGCTATTTTACTTTACCCAGCATTTCAATCTGCTTACAGATTTTGCAGATTGATCTGGGCTCTCTAAAGAAAGAGCTTGGAACCAGGGCTTCTTTTCAGCCGGAATGCGGGGGAACGCAGTTCTGGCACCTCCAGCATTAAATGTATGTAATCACAAGGGGTGCTGGAGTGTATTGGAAGGTCTATTGATGCTGGAGGATCTATTGTCACTGGAGGGGATCGATTTTTTCATGGTGGTCTCTTGTTGCTTGGGAGGTCTATATTTGCTGGGAGGTCAATTGTTGCTGGAACGGATCTACTGTTGACGAAGGGGTCTATTGTTGCTTGCTGATTGGAGATCTATGGTTGCTGGGGTGGCATTTTGTTGCGGGGGTCCATTGTTGCTGGGGGGGGGGGGACTATTGTTTCTGGCTGCAGGAAACCATTTTACTGCTTTTCTTATCAATAACAAATTCCATATAAAATTATATTTGGCTATTTTCTAAAAGGGGTGGTACTGGGAGGTGGGTAGGGGGTGGAACCAAGGGACAGCGCTCGGAAGTGATTAGGGGGTAGAACCAAGGGACAGTGCTCGGAAGTGGGTAGGGGTTGGAACCAAGGGACAGTGCTCTGAAGTGGGTAGGGGTGGAACCAAAGGACAGTGCTCTGAAGTGGGTAGGGGGTAGAACCAAGGGACAGTGCTTGGAAGTGGGTAGGGGGTAGAACCAAGGGACAGTGCTTGGAAGTGGGTAGGGGGTGGAACCAAGGGACAGTGCTCTGAGGTGGGTAGGGGGTGGAACCAAGGGACAGTGCTCTGAGGTGGGTAGGGGGTGGAACCAAGGGACAGTGCTCTGAGGTGGTAGGGGGTGGAACCAAGGGACAGTGCTCTGAGGTGGTAGGGGGTGGAACCAAGGGACAGTGCTCTGAGGTGGGTAGGGGGTGGAGACAAAGGGTGAATGAGAAGAGGGGAGTTCCTGCACCTATTCTCTGAGAAAAAAAAGCCCTGCTCAGAACTGTCTGCTTACTACCTGACTATACAAAATAGGAAGGTAGTTGGGTTTGTCCATCCTCAGCTGTTTGTGTAATCTGAGCTTCTCAAGACAGGTTATTTACAGAAAAGCATAAAAGTCAACCTGGGAAATTGTGTAGAGGAGAATAGCATTGCATCTGCTGCCTACAAACCAAGTTGCATGTTAATGAAAATGATTAAATAAATGCCTAATCATGCGTCTTATCTGCAAGTGAAATAGTACATATAATAGGCATATATACCGGTCCCGGTAATGATACATAACTGTCATATGTAGAGGATTACATTCATGTTTAGGGTATAGGACAATGCTTACATGGTAATGAGGCACCAGCCAAAACATTTTTCAGGAAATGCCCCGTAGTTCATCTTTTAGGAGGCATTTAGGAGGCACTCTGACTTCAAACCTGATTTCAGCTTACTGGCATTTAGGATCATGTACACAATAAACATACTACTGAGAAAAGGTGTTTTGTGAACTGTACATATACAAATAACATATAATTTCATATTTTAGCTAGCTGTGTACAATTGAGTGTGGAAGGACCCATACACGGTGACCCAGAGCTGTAATTTCAATTAACTGCAGGAAAGGAAAGTTTGTGTGTTGCTCATTGCATCTAATATAGTACATGAATTATTTCATATTCTTTTTCAGACAAAAAGAAGCATGAAGAGTTAAAAAAAGATGCCCATGGCCATGCACATGGTCATCATGGAGAAGGACACTGTAAAGGACACAAGGTACAATTTTGTGCACCGCCATAACACCTGGCCTTCACAATGACAACCATAGCTAAAGAAAACTCAGCGGGTTCATTTTTTTTATCATTTCACCTGGAGAGATGTTAAAGCATAAGCTCAATGGGAAATAGCGGGTACACACATATGAAATAGTGCAGCCTCTGTTCAGTATTTCTAAACTAAAAAAGGATTTTTATTTTCATGCACCTGGCAGCTTTCTGGGAAACGAAAGAGGGACACCTTTAAAAAGTATATGTCCAGCCAAAACATTGTTTTTATGATGCTCATACACTAGGTGAAAAATTGTCTGAAAATCCATCATTTGGACAGTTCATTTGTTTTTCGTTCCAGTTAATGGGCACAAATAGAAAATAATTTTTTAACTTTTTTTGAGACACAAAATCAAAGGAAAAGGTTGGGAAACTTCTGTCAAACGGACCATAAATTAAAAGGTTAATGTATTTCTTGCCTCTTAGCTATTTATTTCAGGTACTTGTATAGCACCATCAATTTACACAGTGCTTTACATATATATTTTACATTCACATCAGTCCCTAACCCTCAAGGGGTGTACAATCTACAGTCCCTAACGTACATTCATACATACACATACTAGGGCCAATTTAGACAGGATCCAAGTTAAATATCAAATGGTTTGTACTGTCATATGTGACAAAACAAATAAAAAACTGACTCTTTTATGTCCATTGAATGAGATTTATCGTTCAAAATCCATTTGATACATGATGGCAAAATCGTTGGCTTTCGCAGCTGAGTGTTTGTTATTGGAAAACAAGTTTGAACGATTTTTCAACCAGTGTATGGCCAGCATTAGATTCAGGCACAGTAAGGAAAGGTTAAAGTGATATTTAAGGATCATTTAATTTTCTGGTTTTCATATGCTGCTGAAATAAGTTAATGGGAGCTCTGCTCTTTTCTCCTGTCAAGTTTTCCTTTTCATCTATATCAGATGGTCCCTCTAAGCACAGGCCACTACATCCAGATTGAAGTTGGTTCAGTCCCCTTGTAGATTCCCATGAGAGGGGGGAGGATAGTTGGAACCCACTCCCCTGCTCCCCCCTCTTTTCTCCTCCATGCTGGACAGCGTATGTGAGATACTCAGAGCGCAGGCTCCCCACCCCTACCTGAAAGTTTGAGAAAGCGGCGCTCTGAGACCTTGAGTCGGAGGTGGTGTGCAGATAGCTCGGCAAGTGTTTGTACAGACTGAGCTAATCATGTACAAGGCAGTGTTTAGAAGGGTTCTATTAGTGCAGGGGTAGGCAACCTGCGGCTCTCCAGCTGTTGCAGGACTACAAGTTCCATCATGCCTCTGCAAGTCATAGCTGTAACTGTCTGTTTTGTAATGTTGCAATGCCTCATGGGAAATGTAGTTCCACAACAGCTAGAGAGCCGCAGGTTGCCTACCCCTGTATTAGTGTAATAGCTTAAACAAAATTGCACTGAAAAGTCACAAAAAAAAATATAATAAAAAGTGGCCCACAGGAGCTTTATGCCATAATGTACTAGTATGCACCGGATATTAGCACAGGCAGGGAGAAGAGTTTATGATAGAAGAGACTGATAGGGTATCTTCTGTCATAAAAATCATACCATTCTACCTGTCAGAGGCTTTTGTTATTAAAAAAAAATAAAAACATCTGCCTTTAATATCACTTTAAGCTAAATGAAAAATAATCATATCATACTTACTGTACCTGCTCTGTGCAATGGTTTTGCACAGAGCTGCCCTGATCCTCCTCTTCTCAGGTCCCCTGCTGGCAGTCCTGGCCCCTCCCTCCTGCCGAGTGCCCCCAGAGCAGGCAGCTTGCTATGGGGGAACCTGAGTTGCTGCCCTGAGTGTCCACTCACAAACTAGCATGGCTCAGCCTTGCCCCTGCTCTCTCATTGGCTCACTGGCTTTGATTGACAGTGGCGGGAGCCAATGGCTCCCGCAGATGTCCTAGCCAATGAGAAGGAAGAGTCCCTGGAGAGCTGCTGCTCTCGTACACATCACTGGATCAAAAAGCGGCTCAGGTAAGAATTAGGCTTCTGCACACAGAAGGGTTTTACCTTCATGCATTCTATGCATGAAGGTAAAAAACCTTGAGCCCTCTGTTTCCTCTTGTACCAAATTGTATTGTAATTGTAATGTCTTCCTTCATTATATAAAGTGCTGCGCAAACTGCTGGTGCTATATAAATCCTGTATAATAATAATAATAATAATAATAATAAATAATAATAATTTACAACCACTTTAATTCCGCTTTATTACCACTTTAAACATTCTGTCAAGTTTCATTGCTCTCCTCATAGACATTATTCTTCGCTTCCTGTCCTGGAGACAATATATGACCGATCACCAGAACAGGACGTGCAGGGAAACCTCCAAGAAGACCATAAAAAAAGACTTAAATACTGCAAAAAAAAAGTCTTTATTTATTTATGGGAGGTATGGGCAGACAGCTCTTCCAACTTCAAGCAGGCTTTTATTTCTATCTGTGACCACTTCCCTCTTCTCCAGAGATTTTGCTGGACTGACACATGAAACATATTTTAATTCATTTTTGTATCATTATAGGGGGAGCATAAACATTCCAGCTCCAGTGATTCTAGTTGCAGCTCAAGTGATAGTGAATGTGAAGGAAAGGTAAGTGTCAAGCGTATGGCCTTAATGTTACCACTACTCGGCACTCTATTTGTTTTTGCTTTGGAACTGATGATGTTGGAGAAGAGAACCTTACCAACCATTCAAATGTTTTCTTTTTTTTTTAATTAGAAAAGTGTCAGCTGGAATATAAACATTTTTTGAAAAACAATTTTTACAGCTAATAGTTTAGTGTGTGATCCTTAGAAAGGACTGTAAAGCCGCCTTATTATGCATGCCTTGTATAAACCCTGAAAGATAAATATATATATTTACCTTCTAAAAATGGTATGTAGTACCCTGGTTTGCAGCCAGGAAAATATGTGGAACCTCCGGAAGTGGAATGTTTGTAGTTGGGATGAGCTAAATCCAGAGCTACAGAAGCCAATGAAGGAAAATGATGCAGTTTTGAAGAGAGTAGAAGCATTTAGTATATTAATTCCTCTGGAGGAAATATAAAAGGGTAATAGCTAGGCATCCTCAGTAAGAACATTTTTTGAGTTATTAACCAACATGCTTCCAGAACCATTTTTTCCTTGTTTTTACATGTTAAAATGCACATTTAAGGCCTGAAGATTAGTTAACCCCCCTAACATTATATGCAGTATTTTATAAAACAGACTCTGGAGAATAAAATGGCGGTAGTTGCAATTTTTTATGCCACATGATTTTAGCGCACATTTATCAAACTCAAGTGAAAGTGATTGGGCGGTTTTACAAGCACTCGGTCAACTTCCACCCAAAAGCTCATTACCTGTTCTAAAAACGTAAACACATTCTTGGCTGCTGTTTAAAATCCCTGTCTACCAGCTGCAGTTTATAAATGGTGCTGTAAGGGCTCGTTCACACTTGACTTTAGTTCTAACTCTTGCCAAATGCCCCTATAGCGTTTGACAGGTGTTAGACAGGCATTTTAGAAGCATTTTTAATGCTCCCCAAACACCCTATGCACGGTTTTGAGGCATTTGATAGCCATTTTGCCAAGCATTAAAACCGCACCACAAATGCCTATAATGAAGTTAAATGGTATAAACGCTCTGCAACCGCCTCGCAACTGCCTCGCCTGCCAGGTGTTTGAGGAGCGGCACCATAGACTTGAATTAGAGGCTTCAACTCTTCCTGACTCGACATGAGGCATCAGTTTTGCCACAACGCTAAGCGCTTCAGTGTGAACAGTACTGTGTGCTGCCATGTGCAGAATTTTCATAGGCCTTTGAGAAGCATTAAAAACACCTCCCAAATGCCTGTCTGACGCCTGCTGACAAAGCTAGTGTGAACGTAACTTGAGACTGGTGGTTAATGAAACATTTTTTGTGAAAATAATTTTTTTTACTTAAATTTATTTCATAACTCGGTCCAGTGGTGATCTTTGTTCAGCTTTCCTGCTGAGAAATGCTATGAGTCCTAGCTCAAAGTCATCCTGAGAATGTATGCTGAGCAGGGATGGACTGACAACTCATGGGGCCCCTCTGTCCTTGCCCAAACTCAAAAAAGCCTATGAAAAAGGTACCAGGGGCATCTCATGGGGCCCCCTACTGACCCTGGGCCCTGGGGCAGTGCCCGAGTTTCCAAATGGTTAGTCCGCCCTGATACTGAGCTGCACAAAGTCAGCAAAGTTTACATTCTAAACAAGATGGCAAACAGGCCTGCCTGCTCACAATTTTTTATTTTGTCACTTTAGTTCCCCTTTAAAGCAGCTAAACACATTCTCAGGTGCATCAACACAAAACGCGAGTAAAGTCCTTGTTTTCTTTAGAAAGTAGACCTAACTTGAGTAGAAAAGCCCGTCAGCATGCTGCAGAGAATGACCCTTTCTCTCTGTGTGGAAGCAGAGGTCTCCCTGTAGAGGTCCAACACACTTCCTGTTGAATTAGAGCCAGATCTCTTCAATCAGCACTGTCTGAGTCTGAGCTTTGATGACTACAGAGCTATAGATCAGACTCAGTAGGAGATGTGTTTAACCTATGCAATGGGACCACTGCTTTCCCACACAAAGCAAAGGTCTCACTCTACAGACAGGGGACATGCTTTTCTTTAGAGGCTGTGTCTGCTTTAGAAAGAAAACAATTTGAACTCTTTCTGGGGAACTTATAAAAGACAACGTTCAGATTTCCATCGGGTTGCAGCACTGAAGGTGTTGGTGTTCACATACTGGACACTCCTTCCTCAATGTGCTCTCTCCCTTCCAAATCTCTATGTCCATCACACTGATGGGTGCATGGCTGAAGACTTTTATACTAAGAGTGGACAGAGCCTGCTGGGGAACTAGAGACTCCATCAGGTCCAATTTACTTTTGATTGACAGCACATGGCAGGGGCAGATTAATAGCCACTATTCAGTCCAATAGTGACTTCAAAATTGGCTCACTGTTGTGTGCTGTCAGTCAAAAGTAAATTAGTCTTTCAGTTCGCCATCAGGCATTGTCCACCCAAGAACAGGTAATTTCCCAAATATGGGCATTGCCATATTTGGGCAATGACATCACCTGTATTCCTAGCCCCTTTGTTTACATTTAGCTTTCAGCCAGGGAATCTCCTGGTGAACAGATAAATGGCGATGGAGGTACAGTACTATGTGAGAGGGTCTCACATACATGACAACTTCCCAGCATAGACATGGCCCACTCTGACTACTGGCATACCTCTATATGACAGCTCAGAGCTGGCCTTATTCATCATCAATTTTCTAATCTGCAAACTGACAGTAATTCATAGTTACATAGTTAGTCTGGCTGAAAAAAGACAAACGTCCATCCAGTTCAACCATTAAAAAAAAAGTTATAATCCTATACCCACAGTTGATCCAGAGGAAGGCAAATTAAAAAAAAAACCAGATAGGTTCATAAAGTGGCAGCAGTAAGAACTACCTGAATTTGCCGCATGTGTTGATAATGTTACAGACACTCATGCCACAAATACTTGCCTGAATTAGGTACAGATAGTTCTTAAAGGCAAAGTTCACCTTTAAAAAAAAAAAAACATTTTATATATATGCACTTTTTTTGCATTTATTATTTTTTTTAAAGAGCCTGTAAAGCATTGCACCCACAATCAGCAGATAGCGGGCGTACTGTCAGGCTCCTGCAGACTCTAAAGGTAGTTGTCCACTCACCAGCGCCCTCGCAGTTCATTGAGAACCACAAGGAAAACTGTGAATGAATGATGCACCACATGGCTGCACTATTTTTTAGTGGAATCTAGAGTCGGGGAGAGAGGTGGATGATTCTGAACATGTTACGTGTTCCACCCTAAATACGGGTGTGACATGTTCAGAAAGGTGAACTATAAAGAAACTACTTCCAGAAATAAGTTGGTAGGACTTTATTAGACTCCCCTGCTTACATTTTGATGCACAAGGAATGCATTTAGGGGAATTAAACTGAGGGATCAATTTAGATATAATTCACTTCAGATATAATTCATTGCTCTGGACAATGACCACAGAGGAAAGATCCTTCATCACTGTTAAAGAAATTTCTCTACACAGTTCCTATCCAGCTATTCCTCCGTTTCATCTGTATAATGTTTGACATTACTAAGGATGAAAATTGCCCTTGAAATCTGAAATTCTAACACCAGGTCTTTAGGAAATATAAGAAATATATGGGAAATGGAAAATCCATCAATATTTAACAATTTTATTTTCAGAGTAAGACTTTGTTCACACATGGGAGCCCTCTGAAGAGCGATCAGCGGTGGATCATTTTCAGAGGGTGTTTCAAAGGCAGTGAGGAGGCATTATGTCACCTGTTTAAACCCCTACAAGCCCACACTACTGCACCGCAACTTCATATATTATATGTGGCCACGGCACTGCCCTATTCACTTGAGTGGGTTGTATTTGCCAAGTGCTAAGGCCTGCCGAATACAACAGAGGCACCATTTTTGCCGTGGCATGTGCATACCCCTGTATGGCTACATCTGCAGCTTAGGGGGAGTAGTTGGGATCTTTTAAAAATCACAGCTGAACCACCCCCAACCTCAAATGTGATCTAAGCCTTACAGACAATGGACATTGTGATGTCATCTACCCAACATGTGCTGCCCTGGCACAGAGTTCTGAAACCATGCCAAGGCAATGCATGATGAGACTGTGTTTAAGAGAAATCCTAAATCCAATTCTACTTCACACTGACCACAGGTGTCACTCCCTTGGCATTGCCACCATTCACAGAACATCTACTTTTTTCAGTGAGTACATGGCATTTTCTGATTGGTAGAGGTGAAGATTGTGACATCACAGCCACTCCTCTCCACCTTGTCCAATCAGAGAATGGCTTGTATTAATTGAAAACAAAATACTAAATACTATACCTGGTGCTAGTGCCAAAGGAGAGATCCCCCTGACGTCAGTGTGTAGAGGAGACCACTCGAGCAGGGCTCAGAAGTTTGAGGTTAACACTGTAGTAGCGCCAACTGTGATTGTCAGCTTCCCCAGCGGCCCCTCAGGTATCAAATATTGTATGCATAGTTAGATCGGTCCAAGCTGGAACAAATAAGAACTAAATGTAAAAAATACCAAACTGTAAACAGGCAGACTTTTTACTGCAGAAGAGACAAGCAATGTCCTTTCTGCAATAAAGTACACTTACCTGCCTATTCGCAATCCTCTGCATAATCTACATTGAGCAGCTTGTGCTAGGATGACTGCATGTTGGAACATGTGTAGGAGTTATGTCACCCTGCACTGCCCAATCAAAACAGATGAAGACTGGTGCCAGGAAGATCCTGGGGAGAAGATGCTGGCACCAGTGAGGGACCTTGCAGGCCCTTGGAATTAAGGTAAGTATCTGTGCCTTTAGTTCCACTTTAAGTATGCAGTAAAGATCATACTTCCAAGTTCACTGTTAAAGGAAACCTGTATCGAGAGAAATATGGAGGCTGCCTTTGTTGGCCTCTTGCTGGCTGCCAGTCTCTGCTACACAAGAAGTGAGAATCTCCCCTACGGCTACAAAACTGTATGCATACTTACATTACTCCACTACTTTAATAAACTGTAGGAACTAACTCTGAGGTTCTGTACTGGCAGCACCACGGAGAAGGCCACGAGCATAAGAAAAAGGAAAAGAAACTGCATAAGGAGAAGAAGCCTAAGGACAGCAAGGAGAAAAAAGAAAAGAAAGAGAAAAAGGAAAAATGTGAGAAGAAACACTAATCAGAGAATATTTACAGATAAAAATACAATTGTGTCTGTATTCTACACATTTAATGTGATGTATTGCTCATACATTTTATGTACAACATTTAATCATTAAATTACCATTTCCTCTTGTACTTCTTATTTTCTAAGCACTACAGTTAGATCTGATAAGTCATATATGAGGGGCATTCAAATCAACCTTGGGCTTTTGTGTTTATAGTGCATCCAGAAAGTATTCACAGTGCTTAACTTTTGTCACATTCTGTTATATCACAGCCTTATTCCAAAATGGATTCAATTCATTTTTTCCCTTCAACATTCTACAAACAATACCCTATAATGACAACATGAAAGAAGTTCATTTTGAAATCTTTGCAATTTATTAAAAATAAAAAACAAACACATGTACATAAGTATTCATAGCCTTTGCCATGATACTCAAAATTGAGCTCTGGTGCATCCTGTTCCCACTGATCATCATGTTTCCACAATTTGATTGGAGTCCACCCATGGGAAATTCAGTTGATTGGACATGATTAGGAAAGGCATAAACCTGTCTATTTACGGTCCCACAGTTAACAGTGCATGTCAGAGCACAAACCAAGCCACGAAGTCCAAGGAATTCTCCAAAGACCTCTGAGACAGGATTGTATCAAGGCACAGATCTGGGGAAGGGTACAGAAACATTTCTGCAGCATTGAAGGTCCCAATGAGCACAGTGTTTCGAAGAATTGACTCTTCCTTGGCTCTGAGGAAGAGGCAAGTCCACGAAATGTGTTAGCCTATTGGAGGTCCATTGTTCCTATGTGGATAGCCACATTATGTGGACTGGACAGTGCTGTTCTTTATGATGAGCTTTTACATTTTCATCTTTTGTGAGTATATTACCTATCATCTTTTTCAATACATGTTATTTAAGGTAATGCACTAGGCCAGTGCGCCCTCTCTTTGTATCATATGTCTTACTGCAGCTGAGTGTCTCATCACCATACTGTGCTTGAAGTCTTTTGTAGATACCCATGGAGTTTACGCCTTCGTTCACAAGAAACCACATCACGTTGTTCCACACACACACTAACACTCTTGTCTGCCATCTTGATTAATGTTCTCTGGACTGGCCCGCAACATGTGCTCCACCTATCAGTAATAGGACACTAGTATCCCTTTTTATACCTGTAAAATTGAAAGTTCCGGTTTCACTTGAACTCCCCTCATATATTAAAGGTCTAGTGACACAATCATCTGTCAAAAGGTGCTTAACACATATTCACAATATAAGTAATAAGTATCCATAATATCTTTTGGTGAACTACTAATGTCGTCGAGAACAAATTGCCCCTATGGTAAAGTGACAGTGACTTTTTCATCCACAGGGTCACTGTGCATTGGGCATGTTTTGTTTTTACAGTGTCTTATACCCAGAAAGATTTTGGATCCATTTGATTGTAAAGCTCCACTCAGGGCAGCAGCAAAAAAAAAAAACCCCTGTAGTGGGGCTCCCCAGACTGCAAGGAAATGGCTGTAATACCTACCCTACTCCTCACACTGGCAGGCATACACAATGCTTTTCGACTGGTCCATGTCTCCCACTTCCCTTCGCTGAGTGCAAGCTTTTTCACATCAACACATACAATGCTGGACCAGCACCCCCGTGTTGTATGCAAGGATGACAAGGATCCACCTCTATTTTGAAGCTTTGAAGATGAGACGAGAGCACCAGATCTGCCAGAATAAAGGCATGTATAGCTTACTCCTCTACCCCCTAGGCTAAATAGCCATTTAACTTTTGCCGAGTGGGGAATGATGAAGGATAAGGGGCACTAAAAGGTATTATATATATATATATATATATATTTAGAAGCAAGATATCTATGAATTATCTGGTGGAAAGGAAAGTATGTGTAATGTGTTATTACACTTGCATCCATGCTGCCCTTTGCCATATACAGCTCCCTGAAAACAACACTGTCAGCTCAATACTTCTGCTTCAAGTGTGAACGAGCCCTTACAGTTCCTTTTGGCACTATACTATGTATTTGGTTTAGTATGGTTTCACTTCCACAACTAGATACATTGTGGTACATAGTTAGTTTTTATTATTTTGGGATTGCCAAGTGTGTTTTGGCTCCATCTAGTGGTATTTTTTTCACTATTGCACATTACAGAGGTGCCAGTATCTTCCATCTTCTGGTTATGCTGCTGTGAAATCTTTATGCCAGCCACAGATTCCAATTTTATTTTCATCCACTTTGGGGCATTTTCCATACCTCTACATTACTCCCCAATATAAAATTTGATTCAAGAGAATATAGAACCCGTTTTCTAGGCAAGGTAGTGGCCTGGGAATGTAGCTACAAAGATCTTACCTGCAGATCTTAAAAAAAAAAAAAAAAAAAAAAAAACACAACCATCTGCCAATACCTTGAGTGCCCATTTACTTCTTTGCAATGTATTAACATTTGTTATGTCACACCGTAATGTGAGTTGCACTAGGGCAGACCATTCCAAAACACAACTTTTTTTGTAACACAACGCACTCTTCTTTGTTGTGGCACACTACAGTGCAGGAGACTTGCCGTATTGCGTTGGGGTGCCACCAAAAATAAATGGCAGCACAACACCTTTACCACAATGCAAAAATGTAAATGGGCCCTGACACCTGCTGGATTGGACCTTTTTACAAAATTTTGGTACAAAGGTTCTGATACTTTTGTATCATTTGGAAACATGGCACAAGATTGTCTGCCCCTCAGTTTAAAACCTTTTCTCCCCTAATCTACTGCAACCAAATTAAAGTACACCTGTCATTATAGAAATATAGGGGCTACAATTACTATTAAACCCAAAATCAAAAATGTTTATTATACTGCAGCCTACCAATGTGATGGCTGCATCATGTTTCTTTGGCTCCCCCCCGTTTTCACCTGGTGATCTGGCCAACAACACTCCTGTATTATTGAGACACCACTCTGGATGAAGAAGCACAGGAGCAATGACAGCTTTGGGGGTGAGAAGTGTTAGATGTACTAACAGATTTAGATACACTAACAAATTGAAGCCAAACTCCAGCTCACACTATCAGTTACAGCAGGATTTTTTTGTTTTTGAGATAAAGGTTTTACATGAATAAATAAAAAGCTGATCATTGTAAGCACCCTTGCATGCTTTGTCCCATCCTTGCAAACTGATAGAATCTGCTGGAGTGCTTGAGCTTGTGAAAAACAAACAGACTTACTGGCTAGATCATTACACACATTACATGTAGTGGTGCTATTTTTTTTAAATGGCACCCCAAAGTTGCCCAAGGCAACATCGCTCTGACACACACACACATGCACTACAGCACACACCACAATGCAATACCATGAACAACATCAGGGAAAAAATGCTGCACTCCCCCCCCCCCCCCCCCCCACACACACACACATTCTTGTGCATTGGTAGCCTATTTAACCACTTCCAGTTCGGACACTTTTACCCCCTTCCTGACCAGGGCAATTTTCAGCTTTCAGCGCTATCACACTTTGAATGACAATTGCGCGATCATGCAACACTATATCCATGTGAATTTTTTACCATTTTTTTGAGACAGATAAAACTTTATTTTGGTAACTGAACTCAGCTGCCAGACTCATCCACCTCACCAGCCGCTCCACCTCTGCCACCCCCCTCTGCCTCTCCCTCCACTGGCTCCCTATCGCCCAACGCATCAAATTCAAACTACTCACTCTGACCTACAAAGCCATTCACAACACTGCCCCTAACTACCTCACCGACCTGATTCCCAAGTTACCCGTACCCTTCGCTCTTCACAGGACCTCCTTCTATCTTGCTCCCTGGTCTCCTCCTCACACGCACGTCTGCAAGACTTCTCCAGGTCCTCCCCCATCCTCTGGAACTCACTACCCCAATCCATCAGACTGTCACCTTCCCTCCTCACCTTCAGGCGCTCCCTGAAAACCCACCTCTTCAGGGAAGCCTACCCCACCCTCACCTAACTGCTGCTCTCCTTCATTCCTCCTACCACTCCATCCCCCACAGCCACTTCCTCCTGTACCACTACCCCCTCCCTCCCAGATTGTAAGCTCGAAAGAGTAGGGCCCTCTTACCCCTCGTGTGCTGTTCGTAGCTGCTGTAATGCTTCATGTTTTGTCCCCCCCTCTATTGTACAGCGCTGAGCAAACCCTTTGGCGCTATATAAACTCAATATAATGTAATAATGTAATGTAATGTATTTATTCACCGCTGGGATTTTTATTTTTTTTTGCTAAGTAAATGAAAATGTCCCAAAAATGTTAAAAAAAAAAAAAGTGTTTTTCTTATAAAATTTTACAAATAAATAATATTTCATCATAAATCTTGGCCAAAATGTATTCCATTATCTTTTTAGTAAAAATAAAAAAAAAAAAGCCAAATTAGTTTATAACCAAAAAATTATAATTTTTAAACATTTGTTTTATATTATTTTTTTTTTTTACATACTGTCACCCTAGCAGTAGTGTCACCATGGTGACACTGTACTACTTTTGGGGGGTGATGAAGATTTTTTTTTTTTTTATAGTGATTGCTTTTACATCCTATATGGGTGTAAAAGCAATCATTTCTCTTTCTCTCTGTCTGCATTCTTGCAGCCATTGAGAACTACTGAGTGAGCTGTGATTGGTCACAGCTTGTCACATGGTATAAGGCTGTTGTGAATAGCCTTGTACCATGTGACCTCTGTGATCATTCACAGATTTCACATGTAGAAAGCAATGATGTCACAAGTGACATCTTGCTTACTACTTTGCATGTGATCACTGATTGGCCAATCAGTGATCACATGATCGGGACCTCGTAGAGAGGTAACGTCCGATCATCGGTGTTTCACTGTGTCCGGAGGACACAGCGGGCACCAGATTGCGGTGCTGTGCGCTCCCGGGGAGCACGCACAAGCAGGGTGCGGGAGGCCGTTTATAAACGGCCAACCGACCCTGCAGTGCCACCGTCCGGCTGTTTATTTACAACGGCTGGTCGGGAAGTGGTTAAAAATTAATAGGCTGCCTTAACACAATACATATTAATGTGCAATGGAACGCACATGATTGGCAAAGATGTGAATGAGCCTTAATTCCTTCCTCTCCTAGGGCAATAAGGCTCACTTGCCCTACTTAATCCATGTATGTCCAACCTAACTGTGCCCCTCCATAGATAGAGTTCATCCCCCCCCCCCATACATGGATTCTTCCATGGAATCCTCCCTGCTTTGCCATTGTATTGTGACAGCAGGGACTCCTCCACTGTCAGTGTCAGATCAACAAAAGTTTTCCAACAGTCCTATTTGACAAGAGTTGATCGGTAGGTTGACTTCAGTCAAGCAGGAATGGCCATAGATGGATTGCCCTAGGACAGGACTACATAAATGGACGTTTTACACCCCAGAAATAACAAAGAACACTTGGAAGAGTTCAGCATTTTAACTACTGCAGCAGGACATTCTTGAGGGATTTTTTATTCTATTATTTGGCAGGGTGAAGGGTGAGCCATAGAAGTATCTTGATCAATAGCCATTTGTGGCATTAAGAAAAACTGTGGGTCATTTACTAAAGCTGCAGTGCCAAATCTGGTGCAGCTCTGCATGGAAACTAATCAGCTTGCAGTTTTTGGGTTTTTTTTTGTCAAAGCTTGATAGAACAAGCTGAAGTTAGAAGCTAATTGCCTACCATGCACAGCTGCACTAGATTCTGCACTCTCCAGTTTTAGTAAATCAACCCCACAGTCTCAGTGACAAGGAGGAAGAATCATATGCTTGCTTGTACTTGTATTACCTAGCCTCTTGATTGACACAGTCCTCAGCCCAAAAAGACACATGGTCCTGTGTCCAGAAAAGAAATTAATATTCTCAAATTTGAGAGGTCCAAGCCTGATTTGCACTCTATTGCAGGGGCCCATTAAGAAAGATTCAACACATAGCATTGAAAAAGACAAAATTTAATGTGCTCGAGACACCGGCTGTAACAATTAAATAAAAATGAAGACCGCTGTGTGAAGTCTTGATCCCGCCACACACTGCTATACTTCACAACATTCAAGGACCCCTTTGCCCGTTAATTAGCTAGATCTTTATACGAGTACACATGGCTTAATATTGTACAATAGAGTCCCAAGCCAATAAAAGTCCAGACAAATGAAAGCTTGGTAACTATGCAGTATTCCTCGGCTGCAGTGATAAGGCAAAGCCCCCTTTGATTGGAACTGCACTGAACTCTGAGACATCATGGGGTCCTGTCGGTCTTCCTTCCCAGACAAAAGCAAAGTCTTAACCAGGTGCAATGGAGTATCTGAGAGTCCAGTCCTGTGCTTGATTTCAGTGTGGGGGTTGCAGGCACCAGGAGCTGTGTTTACCAGCAGAATTACATGTCATGCATTAGAGAGATCTCCAAATATATGTATAACTCTAAGAATTCAACCATAGAAGCAAACACTTCTTTCCTTAGAATAAAGATGCTAAAATGAAAGAGTTTGGTATAGGGTGCAAAATGAAAAAGGCATTTTTGACTTTTCTGTTGCCCAGTACTTGCTGGCCTGTTCACTGGAAACCAGATGGGTTGAGTTTTGTGGATCCTTAATATGTACAAGCAACTGTACAACCAAAGACTTTACACTGAATATGTTTGAGGAGTACTGAGCTGTGCTATGTGAGGCTGCGGTAGTGAGAGACCACTATCATCCCGAGTACATGTTTGTCCAGTGGTCCTTCTCACAGTGGTGGAGGAGGGATTGAAAAAGGGACCGCTGTACAATGAATGAGCAGACAATGTGATCCACACACAGAAAACAGTACAAAATAATGAGGGGGAAAAAAAAAAAAAAAAAAAAGGGACTTGTAGGGTGTTTGAAGTCATCCTGATGCAGGGGAGATTTCCATTTTCATTTTCAGGACAAGCTCTGGCTGAAGGTGAATCATCTCACTAGGTGATATGTCAGCCAGTACATGAACAAAGGCTGCACTGCAGCAATGGCCATGGTCAGGTACATACGCAGCTGGTTCCTAGCCCCACGCACCAGAACTCCTTCTGCTGCAGCTTCTGACAAGATCTTTAACCGAAGAGTCCGAACCTAAAGTCAATGTAAAATTTACATTAGCCAACATAAATATTGACAAGTCCCATTTAAAATAGTTCCTGTAAAAGGAACGGTTTGCATTAACATACAGCAAACGGCATTTGTAACAGAGCCATTTAGAAAATGAAAAGGCTCTGTCTGGCTGCCATTTACAGTTAGTTTGTGAATTAGGTATTTACAAGGGTGTTGTGGCAATGGAGATCTGGCGACAATGACCAAAATGCATATTTTCAAAACCTTTTTAGAAAAAAAAAAAAAAAAAAAAAAACCCAGAAGAACAGAGTTCTTGCAGAAGTTCATTGACCAATGAGCAATTTCTGCCTCTCAGATAAGTTCCCACTGACAACTTTGATCTCTTTAGCCATCTGTATGTTGATAATTCTCGATATCCACAAGCGTAAGGAGCATTCTTCCCACTGACCATCACACTAATGTACCACGTGTTATGTAGATATAGTGGTTTTTAGCAGGGGTTCTTTGAGACTGGAAGTTAAATTTCAAGGCTTCCGTGTTGAAAAGATTGACAAAGACTGCTCTAGAGTTCGGTCATGCAGAAGCATAATAAATGTCGGTACTTGCAACAAATTCATGTACCTGTCAGAGACAGGTATTTTAATCTATTGGAGGCATCACAGCAACCACACATCCCTGTCCCCATTCAGCTGCCAGCCAGGAAATTCCTATTACCCAAATATGGCCAATGGGCAATAATAACAGCAACAATCTCACCCTTTGTTTACATTCAGCAATGAAATCCACTGGCAGGTAGATGAATGGGGCTGGGAATGAGTAATTTGTTCCTAGGAAGCCACTGTCGACCAGAGTCCTAGCAGCCATGAACCCTGTGCAGCATGTATACAACAAACTTTAAGCACTGGTGTCTCTCTGTAATTAGGAGCAGCCAATTTTTTAAAAGGGGCTATACTGCCAGAATAATGTTGTAAATGGTTTACTGAATTCCCCTTAGGTGTTTTGATGTACCATCACCTATTGTCTGCTCCAGTAAGCAGTGGAGAGGCAGAGAACTGAGCAATCAACAGTCTTGCTCGGTTCTTGGTCTTAGAGGTGGCAGGGGACAGATGCTGCATACACCTAGACCAGCATAAATATTTTTTTTTTTTATTCCCAAATGTCTTATTTAAATTAAATATAAGTTTTGTCTAAAATTCCACTTTAAGGTTTATCCCAAACCCCCAGAATCCAAATTCACTCAATATGCAAATGGAAAGCCTGGCCACATTTTACACTGCCCCAATCTGCACAACTAGTTAGGGCAGCATTTCTGTAAATGCTTATTCTACCTTTTTGCCCCATTTCGTGTGGTAAAGTAGTAAATGCAACAACAGTGATCTAATGGTCAATATGCATTTGTTAAGTTTTGAAATGAAGCCTTCAGAGCACTGCACCCAGAAGGGCAAAGAGGATTGCTACCCTATTCTGCATAGTCACCTGTTACTGTAATTGAAGGGACATAAGTGAATTTTTCCAGACTTGGCTGATGCGGTCAGAGTCATGCACAGCTGCACTAAATTTAAAAGATTAAAATATCCTGGGGAAAGATACTCTCTGTAACTCAGGTAAGGTGTAAGGCATGGTGTAAGCAACCATGCTGTACTTAGCCTTTAAGGGATGTTCCAAAGCTCTAGTGTAGAGGTGAAAGTTGCTATTAGAAAATTGGACAATATGCAATGAGATATTTGCCAGCTTTTAAAATTGTATGATCAGCCTAATAATTGAGATACCTACCATGAAAAATACTATGGAAATTGAGCACCAGGCGAGTAGTAGATAATATCCTGTCTTCCCAAACAGAAGCCCACACAGAACTGCCCAGATCATCCTACAGAAAAATACAGTGATATTAGGAGAATTAACAAAGGGCAGAAGAGACATTGCATATTAAAGCGCAACTAAACTAAAAACAAAAACAGAATACACCAAGGCTGGATTACAAATACGTCTGTAAATTTTGTTTACATTGGGGGGGGGGGGTGGAAATAGGATTTGCAGAGAAAAGATAACATTGCTTTTTGTTCAGCTCACAGGCAGTGAAAAAGACCCTGCATTTTTGACAAGATCAGCAGGTATTTTCTGTACTTGCTGAAATTGTTCTTAACCTTAAAAAAAACAAAACCGCAGCCACCACAGCCAACGATACTAAGCTGCAACGCATTACATTTCTTTTCTTGAGTTTGCCTTTAAGGGCCCATTCGCACTAGATGCAGTGGAACACATTTCTGACTGCACTTTAATTGCATAGATATTCCAAATTTAGGTTATCCTATGGGCACAGTTCACACTCTGAGAGTGTGAGAAATAAAACCCCAAAAAACAGCAAGCTGCATTTTCAAATGCACAGAAACACATGTGCATGCAAGAAAATGCACTGTAAAACGCAGTGAAGTGCACATAAAAGCCCAAAAGAACAATGCACCGCAACTGTGCATGAAAAAAAAAAAAAAAAACGCGCACACACAGGTGCACACAACACTTGTCAAATGTATGTCATTGAATATGCAAAAATGCAGTTACTGAGTGTTTTTGCATACGCAGCGACACACATTTCTGTCCATTTGCAGAAAAATGCATCATGCTGTACTTTTTTTCACTGCATTGCAATAGTGTTAACTATGTCCATAGGATAACCTGGATTGTGGATTGTCTATGCAGCTGGAAGTTAAAAATGTATCTGGTGTGAATGGGCCGTAAAAAGGTTCAGAGTAGTGAAGAAAAAAAAAAAAAAAAAAAAAAAAAAAAAAAAGGGAGGACCTGAGCACTTCATCAGTTATTATTAACAACCCTACAAATAATTTAAACCCATAGTGAGGGTGCATGGAAGCTGCGGTCATCAAATTCTTCTGAAATGCTGGTTACCCGATTGCAATGATGATCCACAGTGCCATGATAATCCATGTGTGCTGACGTCACTCTGACTTCTCAGATGTGAATACTTTCTCCAAGTCAGCGACTCCGAAAATGTTTAAAACTAGGCAACTAGTATTTTCAGAAGGAAGTCAGCAGCTTATATTTTTTTTGCCTAATACATTTTCTAAGATGGTCAGCTCCATCTAGTGGCAATGATGTAGCATTTTCCTGAAATACGTCAATAAGGAAAATACTGTATTACAGCGACTAGCTGGAGCGGACAATCATATGAAAATAAATGTATGCTTGAGACATTCACACAGACATTTTTTGCTTTTGTAAATAGACTCCAGAGTGTTTACCATAACCAGCATTACAGATTTCATATTCGGCGCCATCTGCTGGTAAGCTCTGGTAACAGACCTTGTCTCTATTCCTGATGAAATAAGTTTTCAGTCCCCAGTTGCAGGCAATAGCTGGATGCAAGATGATGGGATACGTGTACTTTTAATCTATTTACACACAAATGGGGGTCTATATAAATTTTGCTGTGAGGCTTTTCTTGAACCAGAGACTATATTACGATCAACAGACTGAATGCAAAAGGTTCAACACCAGTTTTTTTGTTTTTTAAAAGGAACTCTGGTTACCTGGTTCCTTTGACAGCCATAAACAATTAATCCGGTCTTCAGGAAAAGGTGTTTAAATAAAAGTAATTTACAGAATACAGTCCTCCTCCTCAACACTCACCCCACATACTTGTATCCAGAAAATGCAACAAGATCCACTGTAGTCAGGTCGGTATTTACAGTAACTAAATAGAGGCTGAGAAGAATGGCAAATACTTCCACTATGAGCCAAGCAAGGGCAGAACTGGCCTGCATACCGAGGATTTCTGGTGAGAAGCTGAAAATGGAAATTAAATACACTATTAAATACAGTTGATTGTGACAATAGCAAATTCTATACTACAAGTAAAAAAGAGGTTACAAAGTGTTTAAAGCTCCAGGCATAAAACTAAACACACAAAAAAATATATGCAAAATATGACATCTGTCAAAGCATTTGTATTTCTGTTCAACCAATCTCGTCATCCAGATAACACTGCTAAAGCACAGTCAGGTGCTGTCCTATCTGAGACCTCCCTGTAGATGCATAGTACTGAACCATATAGCCTAGTCCAACACCTGGTCCAACACCAATCGCATTCTGTAACTGCAAACAAAAATTACAGTATTTCTCCACAGTTACTCAATCCCAGGGCCTTTCAAGCAAAGTCAGATTATCCAACAATGAATTTGAATTATATGCCTTATGAACATCTGCTTTCAAACTTCTTCTGGCCGGCAGCTCTTGCAACAGACAAGGTGATCTGATAGCATAAAAACAGTCCAAAAACACATCAGGGCCTCCATGCACTGTTAAAACACAATAGCCATTATAGCATTTGTTGTTCACCACTGTGTGTGGAAATTAAAGGGCTGTTTGGGCTATGTGTTCCTCTGCTGTTCAGCAGAGCTGCATGTTTAAATTTCATTATATCCAATTCTGTCTGTGAGCAGTTCTTTATCTTTCCTTAGAGGACAGGATCAGTAGTAATTCAGGGATAACAGTGTTATACTGCGACTTTCAGAAGGAATTGGACCTCTTGAATGCAGCAATATAACTCATTTATCAAAGAATTTCTTCATGCTTGTGTCCTTAAATGGACTTTGAGAAAAAGTTTTTACAGCAAGTACAATCATTTTATTTTCTTTATGGTCTCTTAAAGAGGACACAGGATTGTAGTAATTTTTCTACAAATGGGTTACTACTGATGCCTTCAATTTCTCCAAAAGGCAGCAGTACAACCCTGTCTGAATTACTACTGATCCTGTGTCCCTTAACCGCTTCTCATCGCCCTATAGCAGAACTACTGCTGCAGGGCTGTGCAAAAATCACATATATATATATATATATATATATATATATATATATATATATATATATATATATATACGTGACTCTGTATTTCCAAGTAGGGGGTGCACATGCCGTCCTACCCACGCCGCCATTGGCGGCTATTTATGTCAATCACTGGGTCCCGGCCGGAGATTTCCACAGCACCTGGAGATTGACGAGTATCACTAAAAGGGGAGAGACATGTGTGTAAGCAACACAGGTCTCTCTCCTACCAGAAGTAACATGCTGCTGTGCATTTCTCTGCACAGCAGAGAAATACACAGCAGTATGTGAAGTCAATCTTCCCGACGCGGATAGCCCCTGGCTATCAGTATGTTTCCCTAGTAAAACACACAATAAAACAGCACACAGTTAACCCTTTGATCGCCCCAACTGTTAACCCCTTCTCACCCAGTGTCATTAGTACAGTGTCAGCGATTTTTATTAGCACTGATCATTGTATTAGTGGCATTGGGATGTCAGTGGCAGTTAGTCTCCCCAACCCCCCCGCCCCAGTGTCAGAATGGCCGCCGCAGTCCAGCTATAAAGTCGCTGATTGATGCCATTACTGGTGTATATAATATATAAAAAAAATTCCAGCATATATACACCGCCATTTGTAGATGCTATAGCGTTCACGTGAACCAATTCATTTACATGTATTGGGATATTTTTTTTTAGCAAAGACATGTAGCAGAGTACATTTTGGCCTAAATTTATGATGAAATTTGATTTTTTTTTTACATTTTTACTGGATATGCTTTATAGCAAAATGTCAAAAATACGTTTTTTTTTTCAAAACTGTCAGTCATATTTGTTTATCGCGCAAAAAAAAATAAAAGTCGCACAGATGATCAAATACCACCAAAAGAAAGCTCTATTTGTGGGGAAAAAGGACATAATTTTCATTTGGGTGCAGGATTCCATGAACGCGCAATTGTCAGTTAAAGTAACGCAGTGCTGTATCGCAAACACTGACCTGGTCAGGAAGGGGGTGAATTATCTGGAGGGCAAGGTGCTGCTGTGAAGGCAATTTAACCAGAAGTGTAGTTAAAATTACACACATGGAAATCAGCACAAAGGACATATGATGTGTCTTGTGTCGATTCTTGTTTCGGGAGAAATCTTGCTCCGTACACCCCACTTCTCCAATGCAGCAAGGGTTTATACAGCTCAGGAGCTGACAGAAGATCATCAAGAGAGCTTGACTATGCCCACCGTTTCCTGCTACAACCCCCAGTCATAGAATCCTTACTACAGCATCTATGAATGACAGAGAATCTATGAATGGGGGACAGGCAAATGATTGATAGGTGCAGCCCTCCATTCAGAGAGCCGTGTCATTCATAGTAGCTGTAGGATGGCAGCAGCATAGTCTGCTCTCCTACCTGTAAAAAAAAGGTGATCGCAGCAGAAGTGGGAGTTGGTACCTGTCAATTCGGGTACCCGCTCCCCAAAAGTGCCAATCCTTAATGGGGAGCGGGGGACAAAGGCTTAAAGCGGAACTTCCCCTTTTGGGTGGAGCTCTGATTTAACATCTATAATTATAGCTCCTTACCTGTGTTAACCTTTGTCACACTGGAAGATTACAGCGGCAAGGGCAGTGGGTAGGACAGAGCAAAATTTCTCCTGTAACAAGAATCAAACACAAGGGACACATCATACTAACCGTAATTTATGTCCTTTGTGTCGATGTTTAGGTTTGTCATTTTAGCTACACTTAGACTTTAATGGGGTGGATATCAAGAGAGATCCAGGCACTTATACTAGGCTTTGTTAAAAATACAATACATATATAACTGGTATTTTTTATACATCTGCCTGGAATCAGCTTGCATTGAAGGGTATTACTTCGGTTACATATTCATTTTTAAAAAAACACTGTGACTGCTGAGTCGGTGGTTATACTTGCCACTTCAGGCTAAAAAATAAGTATCAATAGGTCAAAGGTCTGCATTTGTGGACAATTCCAGCATACTCATGAATGACCTTTGAGCTAACAAATGTCTGCAACACAGAATGGCTTTCTGATAATTTACACAGCTTTAATCCAGATCTACTTACCACAGCAACAACATGAACTTATGTTATTGCCTCACAAGAGAAAACAAGTGGAAGACACAACAGAGAACAGCACTGCACAATACTTCTTTAAACATATGTACACAAAGGACTCCCAGAAAAACAGCAGAGAAGAGGAATATATAAAATTCATCATTTTTATTTCTAAAAGCAGCACACTCCTAAATAACAATGAAAGAATAAAAATATATCACTCACTTGTTCTGTGTACCCAGAGCTAGCCCAGCTACCAGAATATAGGTGATAAAAGCCATAACTAAGAAAGGGAAAGAATGGTGTGGAAAATACAAGAATAATGAATACCTTTTAAAATCAGCATACATTTACACTTATTGTAATACAAAGACTGAACAACTGATATTTGCACTGTGTAGGTCAACACAGTGGTGGAGCGTTACAAAAATCAGTGCATGCAGAATCTGGTGCAGCTGTACATAGTAACCAATCAGCTTCCAGGTTTAAGACTAGGTTCTAATGGCACGCTGCCCGCACTGGAAATCGCAACCGTACTGGGAACTGAGGTTCTCGTGCAAGCTGCGTTTTCAGAAGAAGTGCAGGGACTTCTTCCCTGCGTGTCCCGGGGCACGGGAGTCCATTCAAATGAATGGGAGCTCGTGCCCACGCAAAACGCGGACCGCAGATATGTGAACCAGGGGTTATGGTCAATGCCTAATTGAACAAGCTGAAGTTAAAATTTGATTGGTTACTATTCACAGCTGCATTAGATTCAGTGTGCTCCAGTTTTCGTAACCAGTTTGCCTTTTTAGGGCCCTTTCACACCACATGCAGTTTTATCTGCATCAAAAAAGCATGTTATAGTTGGGGAAAAAAAAGTGTTTTTTTTCCTGCACAGAACTGTACTGGAATGTGGTTAAAAAAAAAAAAAAAAAAAAAAAAAAAAAAAAAAAAAAAAATAATAATAATAATAATAATAATAATAATAATAATAATAAATATATATATATATATATATATTATTTGTTACAAATTTTTTTCTTTTACACAAAAAAACTGAACTTATCCTTGAAGTGGTCAGCATGTATGGATATAGTGCTTATGGAAAAAAAAATGAAATGTTTTACCAACTCACCTGGAATGTAGAGGTCTGGGGCATTTACATCAAACCTTGGTGCTACAGGAATGTCCTGCTGGTACCTGACTTCCCAGTCCTGAAATACACAGAATCCAAAGTCTTAATTCACCCTTTTAATTGTATTGTTTATTCTAGGATGATACTCGCCAAGATTGGGTCTTATGTGAAAGTAAGTAAAATCACAGTGTGGTAGATCACATATTTCCACATCTCAATAGCTAGAGCTAAAAGTAGCACATATCTGCAGTACATATCCATTATCTCTGTAAAGACTCTACAAATCACAGAAAACAAAAAAAAATGTGGATCTGCCAGAAATGCACTCAGCCACTCACTTCCTATTGTAAGCTGGAAACACACAGAAAGACTGAAATTTGAAGAAATTGTGTCAGCCCTGACTCAGACTCAGATTCTGGTACAGCTGACCGCATACTCAAAGGTAACAATTAGACAAAGGAAGCCTCACCACAAGTAGCTCTGTCTCTTTAGCTAATCTACAGTGCTCTCAGAATCCTTTGTCATTTATAAAACCTTATCAATAGGCTAATAGGAAAAATGGAACACATGCAGGTTATTCCCAAATAGGTAAAATGAATACACATGGCTTAGTATTCATTGTTATGATGGTTTGTACATCTATAGCTGGGTTCTGCATCTAGTATGGAGATATCCACTGCCTTTTGCTCTCACAGTTTGCCTCAGGCAGTTCTTTGTTAGATAGTTACAGCCTGCAATTCATGAATCAGATCTTACCTGATGCATAAAGGGAAAGAAGAGCAGTCCAATCTTTTTCCCGACATAGACCGTGTCTACAGCAAAATAATACTTTAGTTTACTCACTGGGATAATCCTATCAATCTGTAGGAGAGAAAAAAAAAATAGGCTAGCTTCAAAACCTGGTACAATGTTTGCATCACACTGCATATAGGTATAGAAAAGAATCACCCCCCTTTAAAATAATCACATTTTGTTGCTTTGCAGCCTGAAATGAAGACAGACACAGTTTTTGTTTTATCTAGCTGTATGCAACTTTTAACATCCAAGTGAAAGATATTACACCATGTCAGAAAAAAAAAAAAAATCCAAAACAATCATTGAGTTGGAAAAAGGATCACCCGCTCCTAAAAACACTCAATCAGGTGTAGTTAATCACCCGCTCAATGGCACACAAAGCCATTTGACTTTCAACTGTGATCAGTTGTGGTCATTTTGATTAGCTCAGCATAAAAAGTTTTCCTGGAGCATTTCAGTCCCTGGTAATACAACTGAAGCAAACAATCAACTATGGGTGGCAAGGCCCTGTCAAAAGATCTCCAGGATAAAATTGTGGACAGGCACAAGACAAGAGATATGTATATAGGTGGTGCAGCGCTAAAGATGTCAGAGTAAATATAATATAATTCACAATGAAAAAAACCAAGACCTATGGTTAGGTCAATCCAAAGCACAGTGTGACATAATATATTATTACAGATCTACATCCTTATAAGATCATCCGTAAAACAAACGTAAGTGCCACAGAAGGTGTCAAATTAAAGTGACAAAGTGCAGACAAACATATATAAGTAATGGCAAGGTGGTCACAGGTGCCACTCTAATGCACTTTGTCACTTTAATTTGACACCTTCTATGGCACTTACATTTGTTTTACGGATGATCTTATAAGGATGTAGATCTGTAATAATATATTATGTCACACTGTGCTTTGGATTGACCTAACCATAGGTCTTGGTTTTTTTCATTGTGAATTATATTATATTTACTCTGACATCTTTAGCGCTGCCTAAATACATATATTCAGAAGGTTGATTTGGTACCTTTTTGGTGTACACAGCAGCTTATCAATTAGCGCTCACTTCCACATATCTTATTACACAAGACAGGAGATGGATACCAATCAATACCTAGAAGCACAGTGAAGTCTATTTTTAAGAAGTGGAAGCTATTTAGTACAGCACAGACTCTCCCTGGATCAGGGCATCAAGCCAAACTGAATGAAAGGGCCAGGAGGAAACTGGTCAGAGAGGCTACCAAGAGGCCTACAGCAACTCTGAAGCAGTTGCAGGAATTTATGACAAAGAGTGGTCATTGTGTGCATGTGAGAATATCAAAAATACTCCACAAATGTGGCTTGTATGGGAGAATTGCAAGAAAAAAGCCAATCCTCAAGGCCACATGCAGTCATGACTGAGCTTTGCCAAAATGCACCTTGACGATTCTGAGGCCACGTGGAAAAAGGTGTTATGGTCAGATGAGAGTAAAAATTAATAATTTGGCCTCAACACAAAACAATCTGGTGGAAATACAATACAGCTCACCATCCAAAAATACCACTCCTACAGTAAATCATGGAGGTGGCAATATCCTGGTATGAGGGTGTTTCTATGCAGCAGGGACTGGGGCACATTTCAGGATAAAAGGAAAAATGGACAGGGCAAAATACCGTCAAATTCTTGGGGAAAAATCTGCTGTCCTCTGCCAGAAAGTTGTCAATGGGCAGAAGGTTTACCTTCCAACATGACAATGACTCAATGCACACAGCAAAAATGACCACACAGTGGTTGTAGGAGAAAAAGCTGAATGTCCTTACATGGCCTATTCAAAGCCCAAACTTAAACCCCATTGGAAATCTGTGGAATGACTTGAAGACAGCAGTCCACAAAAACTGTCACCATCAAATTTAACTGAAATTGAGTAGTTCTGCAAAGAAGAGTGGACAAATATTGTAAAATCTAGATGTGCAAAGTTAGTAGAGACATATCCCGACAGACTGAAGGCTGGTATTAACCACCTCAATACTGGGCACTTTCACCCCCTTCTGGCCCTGGTCAATTTTCAGCTTTCAGCGCTCTCACACTTTGAATCACAATTACTCAGTCATACAACACGGTACCCATATGAAATTTTTTTTTTTCCCCCACACAAATTGAGCTCTCTTTTGGTGGTATTTAATCACCACTGGGTTTTTGTATTTTTTGCACTATAAATCTAAAAAAAAAAAAAAAAAACTTTGAAAAAAAAAAATACACTGTTTTCTTGGTTTTGGTTATAAATTTTGTAAAATAAGTAAAATTTCTTCATACATTTTGACCTTAATTTAGACTGCTATGTTGCTTGGTAAAAATAATGAAAAATCAGTATATATTATTTGGTATGTGTGAAAGTTATAGAGTCTACAAGCTATGGTCACTGAAAATTAATCACACCTGATCACAACTGGTGTACTGACAGACTATCTCGTTCCTTGAGACACTAATGCAGGCCATAGACAGGTCGAAAATCGGCCGATTTTTCTTTTTAAAAAAACAAAACAAAACAAAAAAAAAAAAAAAAAATCGGTCGTTCAAGCAGCCGACGTTACCAGCAACGGTAAAAAAAAAAAAAAAACACTTCTTCATCCTCTTCTTCTCCTTCATCCTCTTTCCTCTTCTCTCTCTTCCCCTTCTCCTTCTTCCTCTTCCTCTTCTTCATCTTCTTCATCATCTTCTTTTTTCTTCCTCTTGCAGGTCACTGCTCATGCGCAGATTTTTTTTATCGGTAAAAGATCGGCCGATTTGCCCATCATTGCCGCGAAAATCGGCCGAACGGCAAAATCGGCCGATTTTTTTCCAACTTTACCGATAAAAAAAATCTGCCAAAATACCGAAAAACGGCCGAACATTTAGCCCACTAACGATCCGAAAATCGGCCGATTTTATTTTCAGCCGAAAAATCGGCCAATTTTCTACCCGTCTATGGCCTGCATTACAAGCCAGGAAAGTACAAACACCCCCCCAAAGACCCCTTTTTCGAAAGTAGACATTCTAAGGTATTTAGTAAGAGGCATGCTGAGTTTTTTTAATTTGTAAATTGTGCATGCTTATGGAATGGTTCCAAACTACAGTATTTGAAAATCTCGACAGGCGACAGTTTATAAGCCTTTACAGGTTACCAGCTTACAGTTACAGAGGAGGTCTGGTGCTAGAATTATTGCTCTCGGTCTGACATTCACGGCAATACCTCACATGTGTAGTACGATCGCTGTTCACCTATGTGTATGAGACCAATGTGTGTCCGCCTTTGCACACGAGCAAGGGGGGGGGGGGGGGGGACGGTGGTGATGCTTTCAAGCCTATAATACCGATCCATCATCTTAAATAATCAGGACAAGTGCAAATGCCATAGTTACGATTCCTGAAATAGTACTGGAGCCAGAGATAACAAGACATGTTGAACATGTTTAGAAGGAGGCAAACAATGGAAGTTTCCAAATTTCTCTCAGTGCATCGCTCCTCTAATACAAAACTCCAGCCAAACCCTTTTTTGGGACACATTGTGGTCTCACCAATGAGGAGAACTTTTCCGTAACACTGTTTCAGTGGCGCTAGTAACGAAGACAGGGGATTCTGCAATGAGGAATATACATCAGATGAAATGTTTATAATTTGGGATGGGTTTTTATTATCGTCTTAGTTTCCACTGATGAAATTCCTCTTACTTTGCCCGAGTGACAATGGTTACTTTATACTGGTACCTCCTAGCCGCCTAACCATTTTTAAAATCTTCCAAATATGAGTATGGGAAGCACAGAAACTGAGAAGGTCCCAACACAGCACAAACAACGAGGGGTGTGTAAGAATATCCAGAATCCCAAATCATGTTGGAAAATCATTTTACACTGTACTCACATTCTTGTCCACCATCTCCTTGCCCTGGCTTGCCAGACTGCTTCCATAGGCCATTGCAAAGTTGGACATTGGCTCGGACAAGAAAGCCTGAGTTGGTATACCGAGGGCTGGGGATCCATGGTTGGGGTACTCTGCTGCAAGAGGGCCTGTTCCTGAGCTGGTATCATCAAACAGCTGATGAGGTGCGGCAATATTTGGGTTGGAGCCTCGAAGGCGACGCTTTGAAGCTGCAAATGGAAAAAAAAAATTGTCATGAATTATAGATGGATGGCTTTAAAAACAAATAAATATGCCAGTCAACCAAAATATGCATGAATCTGAACAAGTGATTTATCTCATTGTTTCCTATACCTTTTTTGCACTCTGCATTGGCCATTACAGAATCCAACCCTCCCAGTTGCGTTTGCAGTATATTTTATATTATGGAGATAATAGATAAACAGCAACAACTAAACTACAAAAAAAAAGGAGAGCCAGATCTACACAAGGTAGACTGAAGTCAGAACATTGGTAGGTGGTAGGGACAGCTTGTGACATAGGTCCCCAATATCTAAAAATCTAGGGTGTGACCCGCCCCACATCTCCACTTCACCAAAGGGCAATACTTGACTTCTAAGTGTTAACCACTTGACCTCCAGAGAGTTTTACCCCCTTCATGACCAGAGCATTTTGTTGCTGTCCAGCATCACTGTGCTACTTTAGCTGGCAACTGTGCAGTCATGCAATACTGTATGCCAATTAAATTTTTATAATTTTTTCCATAAAAATAGAGCCTCCTTTTGGTGGTAGTTGACCACCACTGGGTTTTTATTTTTGGCGATAGAAACAAAAAAAAAACAAACAAAAAAAAAAAAATTTAGAAAAAAGAAATATTTTCTACTTTTCGTCATAAAACACCTCCAATAAAATCAAATTTCATCAGAAATTTAGGCCAAAATGTATTCTGCTAAATGTCTCGATAAAAAATAAATAAAATAAAAATCACAGTAAGTGTATATTAATTGATTTGTGTGAAATTTACAGCGTCTACAAACTATGGGATATATATTTCAACCTGATGTACCGCTGACCTATCCTATTTCGAGGCCCTAAAGTGCCAGGACAGTACAAATAGCCACAAATACCCCTCAAATGACCCCTTTACTAAGAGGCATGGTGAGTTTTTTGAAGTTGTAATATTTTGTCACAGTTGTTTGGTAAATTAAGAAAATAAATAAATGTCACCAGTGCAGTACAGCATCATCATATGACTGACAGTATGTGCAAAAAAAAAAAAAAAAAGTTTGTATTCAATTATTTAATTTTTTTTTTTTTTTAAATACTCTGATCAGTGTAGTGACACCCAACATTAAACCCCTGGTCCACTGATCACAAGTGCAATGCTTTCCAGGCTTCTGCAGGAAAAAATAATAAATGCACATTTTTTCCGCAAAAATATGTGCATTTATTATTTTTTCTTAAAAGGTGAACTTATCCTTTAACTATTTCCCAAAACAAATACATTCAAGGCATGCCATGATTAAAAACCATCACAGTTGCTTGTGCTCTCTAACTGTTCACGTGAAGCACCATGGCAACTGCAAAGCAAAGAAAGGCCAAGATGGCAGCTTCTATGTCTGTTAAGGAAAGGAGGATTTAGTTCTGCTTTAAGCTCACCACGCACTTTATATTCTAATTGTACAATCTCCTCTAGATCCACCAATACATATGTAGAGCTGGCCTGACTGTATGTAGTTCAGGTGGGCTCTCACATTACATCGTTTTGGTAAATCCAATGTTGATTGTACAGAGGTTGTATGTATATGGTGAACTATAAGACTAGCGCTCAGGAAGCCTCACAACCAAGACTTTCTGATAACTGATTGGAATATTCAAGTGATCACATCCTCACAATGTCTGATTCACCTACAGGTCTGTTCACATCTGTGTGTTGTAAAATGTGATATTCTCCCCCCTTCCCCAGGCACTTGGAAAAAATTGACGTGCCAAGAAAATAAAAATGCACTTAAAGTTGAACTAAACCCTCCTATTGTTTTCAGTCAAGGAAGCTGCCATCTTAGTCTTTGTTTGATCTTCAACTGCTGCACATGTGAGCAGTTATGACTCCAGCCATTTGATGGCTTGACAGTTTGGTCGACATACAAGCATAGGTGACAGTTACTTTCTGGGCATGTGCTGGGAAGGTAACTGTTTTTTTTTTTTTTTTTCTTAAAATGTTAAATCGATGGATTTAAAAAACATGCAGAGCGCTTCCATTGATTATACTGGTAGGTGGAGTGTTGATAAAATGCACAGAAGATGCATTGATCTGGGGCAGACATTTCAATATGAAACCAAGATAAAGAACACAGGGACATGACTTCAAACCAGCTGGAGGAAAGTTCAGAACTAATCTAAGAAAGTATTATTTTACTAAAAGAGTAGCTGATGCTTCTATTAGACTTCTAGCAGGGAAGTGAGTCAGTCAGCAGTAAGTGGCTTTAGACATGCTTGAGACAAATGGAAATCGATGCTCAGACAAAAAAAAAAAAAAAAAAAGTGGTTATAAACCCAGAGAAGTGACTGACTTCAGATGATACACAGAGATAAGACAAACCCTCCTACATAAGTTGTACATGTTTATCTACAGCCGTCTTTCCCCTACATCCATTCAAATTCCAGAATTTACACAGGATCTCTCAGCTCTGAAAAGCAGAGGGGAGAGAGCTGAAGTTACATCAGTGAGGAGAGCTCTGAGAGCTGACTGGAAGGAAGGGACACACCCTCCTCCACGCAGCATCAGAGCTGAGGCTGCCAATCAGCTGGAGGTCCTTCCCCTGTCATCACTGTTTTCTTGGTGTCAGGAAAACGTGTCAGAAGTGACTTATGCTGACAGCAGAGGAATGAGGCAGCAGACAGAAATGACACTTAGTGTTCTGGATTTGAGACAAGTACACACTCTAAAACACAGGTGTCAAACACAAGGCCCATATGCCGAATCCGGCCCTCCTGGCCATTCCATGTGGCCCTTGCACCAATCCTGCAAGTACCCCCTTGTCTCTGCCCCCACCTTGTCTCAGCAGAGAGGGGAATAGAACCAAATCCTGCACCTCTCAGTGCAGCTGCAGTGTCCCCTCATTTCTGCCTCCACTGGTCTCAGCATTCAGCAGAGTCTGGCAGCTGACTCCACTCCTCCTCTGGGCCTCCTCCAGACAATGCACTTTCTGCTTTCCAGCTCTGAGGGGGTGCATGGTTATGTCATGGAGGGTGTGGGATTCTTGACATCTGTAATGGGGGGGTGCTGTGGATATCAAGTCTTGCAGATATAACCGACCCATTGAGGGCAACCATAATGCTGATCCAGCCCGTGATGAAATGGAGTCTGACGCCCCTGCTCTAGAGGGATATGCTTTGTTTGTATTTCATGGCTGAGATTTACAACCACCAAACAAAAGAAAAAAAAAAAAAGACTCAACAGCCCACCTGATCACCTTTTTCTGTCCTCACATTTCTGTTTCTAAGGTGCTGAAAGCAGGACTTTTCAGAAGTGCGGTGCCTCTTTCACAGGGGGCAGATTCTGTTGTGATTGGAGCAGAGCGGGCGGATGACACATCTCTGCTCGGTTTATGCAGAGCGGACACAGACAGAACCCCTCACTCTGCTCTATGGCGGCCGGGTGCTGAACAGACTCTGTTGTCCATTTACGGTCCCACCTAAATGGAAGAGCTCAGACCCCTTTCCGTTTTTTTAGAGGATCGGACCCGGAGGTGGACAACTGGACACGAGTCTGTTTACACCCACCAGTCCATAGGGATGAATGGACCATCCAATCAGGTCGGCCTGAATAACAGGCGGATCGGATCGCCCTGTGAAAAGGGCCATAGGATTTAAAGGGAACTATTTTCCAGATGACTTTGGCTGGGAAGGTGTGTTCTAGCGCACAGATGTGAGCGGACCCTAATGTGTAGACCAACCATGGAGGAGACATACTGATTGGTGGCCAGCGATGACCAGGGACCCGGGTCATTCACACTCCATACACAGCCGGTCAGAGGACAGCACAGAGCACACTAACTGACAACCACTGTCCATGTCTGTGGATGGAGCACAGGTCTCCACATAGTACATCACAACCCTCCCCACTGACAGACTTGGCTCTCCAGCTCCTGTCTGCACACACCCAGCACCGTCTTCCCTCCTCGTAACACCCGCCCTCCAGACCCCGCCTCCACCAGTATACCGGCCACTACTCACGGGCCCTGAAGCTGCTCTCCCGGTTCATGGCTCCGGTGGGATGACGCGGCTTCGCCTCCGCCTGGCCACGTGACGCTTAAACGCGGCGAACCAATAAAAATAGAGAGATGGTAGATTGTATCTGAGAATGCTTGTTGATAAAGCTCAGTGAAAAGTCAGAAAAAAAAGACAAGGAAGAGTCTGTGATGTGGCATGGGCGTGTAGTGGGCGGGGATCTTGCGGACACGACTGAAGCAGCGGGCGGGGTTTAGAGGAAGGGCACGGTACCCGGAAGTGAATGGAGTAGTTGCCTGATTTTAAAGAGACCCTGTTGTCACCAGACCATTCCTGTCAAGAACAAGAATCTACATACAGGGGGAGATTTACTAAAACGAGTGCACTCAGAATCTGTGCATGGTAGGCAATCAGCTTCTATCTTCAGCTTGTTCAATTAAGCGTTGGCAATAAAACCTGGAAGCTGATTGGTTTCTATGTAGAGCTGCACCAGATTTTGTACGCTTTAGAAAATAACCCCCACTGTCTTCTAAGTTGTAATCATTTAAAATGCTAGATTTTCTGTGCTGTTGCAACTTTTATAGGTTGGTGACAGGATCTTTTTAACCACTTGCCTACTGGGCACTTATACCCCTTCCTGCCCAGGCCAATTTTCAGCTTTCAGCGCTGTCACACTTTGACAATTGCGCGGTCATGCAACACTGTATCCATATGACATTTTTATTTTTTCACACAAATAGAGATTTCTTTTGGTGGTATTTGGTGGTATTTATTTACCACTTGGTGTTTTATTTTTTGCACTATAAACAAATTTCTTCATTTGTGTTATAATATTTTGCAAATAAAAAATCTTTCTACACAAATTTTGGCCAAAATGTATTCTTCCAAAATCTCTTTGGTGAAAATAACCCAAATCAGCGTTTTAAAAAGTTGTATTAACTGTGGTATAAAATCAATAAATCCTGATGTACTGATGGCTGATCTCATTTCTTGAGGTCCAAAAA